GTGATTCTAGAATTCTCCTGTGTGTGGGGTAACCTAAGACGCCCGGGTTTAAAAGTCTTGGTGGTGGCAGTAAAGTGTACTAAGGGGTTTAGTGTAGAAGGGATTGCAGGGGTTAATTGAATGGTTGCTGGGACTAGCAACAGGTAACCAGGGGTCTGGTGTCATTAACCCTGTCACTTCCACACTCTCCCCACTGTCTCGGCTGGGCCTATAGCCCACGCTCGTGACACTACCAGAGACCAAAAATGGCGCAGAAAGAGACAAGGCCACAAGAATGTCCGCAATTCAGCACGACTGACCCAACTAAAGCCACAACTCACCAGTCGACGCCGTCAAGAATTAGACCCTCGACTGGGCAAACCCCGGAGGCAACACCTCCACCAGCGGAACATAGCCCCAAACAGACTCCTCAAGTTAGCAGGCCCACTCCACCGGAGGGGGTCTCAGACATCGTCGGAGCAAAGACATCCAGCACCGTTAAGCGAACCCCAACGAACAGGCTGTGGGCCCGGAGATCGGGCATTGGCTAGAGATTTACCCAACGCCGGCAGCTGGAATCCAACGCCTGCTACGGACTACAACAGGACACTAATGTACCCTTCCTACACAGAGGTTCTCTCTAACCGCAGATGGCAGGGGACTTTATACATGGTGAAAAGGAAAAAAACTAAGCGTTCCCTAGTTTATGTATGTTGCAAGTAATATATATTTTTTCAGGACTATCGTCTATTGTGCACACTCTACCACATCACAATCCGTGAGGGGCAGGGGCCGAGCCTGGGGACGTAGATAAACAGCTTAATGTGGGCGGGGATGCAGGCTGCTGGTGTTTCCCTATCTTCTACATGTATTAAATCATACCCAGTGGAATATTTTACGAAAGCTAAATTAAGTCACTCACAGGCTCAGCATGTTTACATTTCTCGGATTCTGTTTTTCTCTGTTGGCAATATGCATGTTTTTCTTACCTCACTCCACATATATTGACTTACTGCGAATAAGCTTGTTTTCTTTAATAATAAAAAATAAAGAGCAGCAAATCTTGACCTTATTTGTCTAAACATTGTCATTATACCTCTTGTCATAAAGTCATTAAGAAAGCTTGTACCTAACACTGCACGCCTAAAATAAAGAATTAAAAAAAATAATAATAATGTTCTTAATGTTTTAACCCCATCAAGTATTATCTGCCTATCTCAAGTCTTCGAAAAGTTTTAATTGGGCCTTCTTAATCCAAGCACCCTCCCTTCCTACAATAGTGAAGCTGGAGAATATGTTGGTGCTATATAAATGTCAATAATAATTGGCCTATCTTCCCCTGAAGCTTGTGAATCCCTCGACTACCGTATGCCAAACCAATGGTGAGATAAGCTGATGCACTTACTCATGTGGTTTTCACATCTCATAACTTTTTTTTTTTTTTAACATACTGAATTCCATCACATTACAACTGAGTAGCATAGCCCTCACTCAGACTGTAGGAGAGGCGGGGAGGGGGGAGGAGGGGGGGTTTCCAAGCTTTCCGAATAACTCAGATTGGAATTACTCACCTTACTCCTTTATCTTCCATCTTCCCCTCTAGTTCTCCTTTTTATCTATTCTTCATTCTACTGCCTTCAACATCCTTAACCTCCCCCCCCCTTCATTATTTATCCAGGTGCTATCCTACCATACAAAAAAAAAAAAAAAAATCGACTATAGAACAATACGACTTAATATCGATTTCATTGCCTTAATCATGTGTACGTCTGTTATAGAGATAATATAGGCACCCAGACCACTTCCTCTCATTAAAGTAGCCTGGGTGCAGTGACCCTGTCCCCTTAACCCTGCAAGCGAATCAATTTGAATTTAGAGAACTGCAATGTTTTCATTGCAGTGTTAAGGCTGCCTCTAGTGGCGGTCTACCAAACAGCTAATAAAGGTGCTTCCCGCAGTTTATATATGAAGAGTGTTGTTGATGGAACCAATGCCAACAATGGTCCTTTGGGACTGGAACACTGCTAGGCCCACACTGGTGGTATAACATTTATTCTTACAGGGACACCCAATTGCTCCTGTCCCCTGAACTCTGCATAGTTTATACTGTAGGGTTAAGACAATGGAGTTTACCAGAGTTTTGCTCTGTGAAATGACGTTGGACGTCCTCATGCTTTTCATGAGGATGTACAACATCTGAATTCCCATAGTAAAGCATTGATCCAATGATTTCCAATGGGGAAGGCCTAATGCCTGTGCAGCACTCGCTGAGCATGTGCATTAGGTTCCCCCTGACGAGGACAGTGGAGGAGGCAGAGACAGGGCCAGCGCCAAGGGACCTTAGCACAGGAGTAAGGCGTTTAAAATGTTTACCCTTTTAATTGCCGTGGGGATGGGCATGGGGACACTATAGTGTTAGGAATACAGCTTTGTATTGCTAACAGTGTTTCTTTTAGTATTGTTTACTGCCTTTCTTTCTTCATACTTTAAACTCTTGACTTAAATCTTCACTTCACATATATTAGCTGTTTATTCATTTCATCTGTTGAATTTGAAGGATGGTATAGTCTGCATTAGAAAGGAGAATGCATTTTATATGCGTCCACCATAAAATGCAAATTTAACACAGCCTAGAATATCCTGCTGATAATAACCTTAACACCAATTCTGTAACATATGAACTAGAATCAACTTTATCGCTGACCATGTGTGCGTATGATAAAGCCAACAGCAGTGTTTAGTAGTAAGTGCTTTATATAATAAAATAATGACAACCAATCCGAGAACTGCTATGAATGTTTTATTATCCTATTTAATTTTAAATAGCCTACATTTTTGTAAAATAGTTTATCAATAAAGATATTAGGTTCATAAAACTGCTTAAATATTTTCTTTACAAATTTCTTGGGCTTACTCTGTTTCGGCTAATAGACTAGTCAGATTTTGGTGTTCGCTCCCATCCTTTAATACTAAAGTCAGCATGGTCATATCTGAAAACCACTTCCTGGAGTCACTGGAGATAATCTCTATAGACACGAGATGATATTCTCTGAACCATTTCGACTTTTAAATGTGCCTTGTTGATTATAACATCGCCACTCAATGTCAATACATGGAGTTTACAAACTGGCATAAAAAAAACATTACTCAAATCAATAAAACGACAAATTATCCATCATCCTCTATAATTTCAATTAATGTCAATGAACTTCTGATATCTGTCATCATTAACATTTTACATGTGGTTCTACACAAGTAACCCTGGGGCTTTATTCCTATGGTGTGTAAAATGGAATCTCAATTTTTTATATTTAGAATGTGCTTTAAAAAGCAAATTTGGTGCCATCTGTAAAGTTGTTTAACTTTACCTTTGGACAGACCAAGAGGTATGCAGGAAAGAAGGCATTTGCACTAACCTTTCAAATTAACTTTTCCAACTAGTCCAAAAACTGGGACTTCGGTGCATTACTCGATGTCCCTAGCATACAGCGAACTTCTCTTGCCAGATCAGTAGATTAGGTGTTAGGTAATAATATATAACAGGATGATGACACTTTAAAGTACAGATGTGGTGTTCATTTTTCCATTAAGTGATGATCCTTCATAGGGCAAGTAATGTCTGAGTTATAGGTCTAGTAATGTCTGAGTTATAGGTCTAGAAGGTAATTGACATAAAATAAGAATCTAGTGCACTGAATTGCCAATCAATGCTGCACCTTAAAACACAAACTTGCTTTGATTTTGAGATCAATCAATACAGAGATTCCAAATGCTGTCTGCAGACCATATATGGGCCTTTGTTGACCCCCAGCTGTGTCAGCCCTCTACAAACTTCTACTAAGGTGTGTTTACATTGTTATGGTTCTAGTCACAAAGTAAAAATCTGACATGTCATCCCACAAGTCTGAAAAGAAGGAAGACTATGGGTAAACTTATAATAGAACAGTAGTGAAAAGCAGAATATTACATTATATAGTTGTATTTTTCACTGCCAGATGAAAATTGAACTTAAGAATGTTTCTTTTGGAGTATTTTTTTTTTTTATTAGTACCTCTTTTAGGCAAAATCAAATATTTAGGAAATTACCGATTCATCAAGGCTTTGATTTACATTTTTTTCTTGAACAATGTACAACATAATACACTGTCTGAACTATCAAAAGAGTTGTAGGATTTGAATTATTAGATATCAATTTGAAGGGAATCTATAACAGTGCGACGTAAACCAAGGGAAAGTAAAAACAAAGTGCTTAAAGAAATACAATTCACACTGATATTTTATCCAAAGCGGTTGCCTGATTTCATCGATGGAATTCAAATTTGGTGTGCCTAAAAAACAAAGTCAGAAATTTTTGAAGGGAGATGGTGCGGACGTCTGAAGTACAGATAAAGCTTTTTCGACAAATAACTTAGCATACATTTAAATGATCCAACTATTGGTCACAGCTCGCCAGAGCGGACTACCCCCTTCTCCAAATCAGATGCTTCTAGTAGCTTAATGACAGGTGAGGAGAGATTCTAGAGGAGTAGTCGGATTACACTCTATGCCTGGAAAGGAATTTTATTAACCAGTGTAGCACTAAATATCTAAAAGAAGAAAAACAAAAAAACATTGCACTATAATTGTCTTTTCAGGGTACAACGGTGTACTCAAGAACAAGCACAAAAGCAGCCTCACGCAAATATCTCATGTTTGATGTTTAAGTGTTACAATTTTCCCTGTTCCACTACAAAGAATAAGGAAGGGAAAAATAAAATAAAAAAATCAGCTCCCCTAGTCTTGTGCATAAAATAAAATATTTTTTTTTTTTGCCAAGCTTAAATAGTTGGGAGCAAAAGGGCACTTCTTGTAAATTTGTTAAAGCTGGCATTTTTTGTGTAAAGGGAATAAATAATTAACAGAACATGGAATAATGCTCCAGCAGGTTTCTCATATTGCTGGCCAAGGGACTCTCCAATTTGAACATCCCATAGAACACAGCACCCTTTATATCTGAATCCGGAATGATATGCAAGGAGAATTCAGCTGGCTCCTGCCCGAGCCATGAGATCTTCCAGAGCCTTGTCCTGGTCATTATTGTGTAATAATAGAACTTCTTTAATGTCTTTTTGTTCAAATCCCATTTCTTTGAATTTACTCATCAGCTTAAGAAATTCAATGGTCTGTGAAAAAAACAAAAAAATAATTAACACCCATCTGTGTAATTTGAGTGATGACATCTGTGTGGCATCTGCAATGCATAGTAGCAGACAATGTGATAATATAGACTCCTCAGAACATAGCCTGACACTATATTCCCCTATAGTGCACCACTCCCCATTACCTACACACCAATGAGCAAGCATGTTCATATGCCCTTATTCACAATGATGCCAGATCGCTCAGTGAGTGAACCAGTAGTAAAGCACTGATCCAACGAGCAGGTCATGAAGGAACTCGTGATAAACTTAGAAAGCGTAAATGATATATGTTCGTAAACTCACCTTCTCTTCTGAGCACTGGTACATTTCGAGGGCTTCCTCCACAAGGAGAGGATCAAATCCTTTCTCGCATAACTGGGCATGTATAAACAAGTACTCCAGCACCTGTACAATAAAAACAAACAGGCATAACATATGTTATTGTAATGCAAGGTAATGTCCAATCCCAAGGTACCATAAATATGGATAACTCCTGTTACTCTGCAACCAGAAAATCTAGTATACATTGTGTTGACCAAACTGGAAACAAATGGATACATAGAAGGCTATTCAACTATAATTTTAAAGGAACACTTTAGTTTTAGGAATACAAAAGTGTATTCCTAACACTGTGTCCTTCTGCCCCACGACCCCTTCTCCCCCAAGCATTGTAAAGGGTTAAATAACTGGTTAATCGGTTAACCGATTCCAGTGCCAGTGTCCCTCAGTGTTGGGTCATGCTCCATCTCCTCCAATGTCAGCTGATGTGAGGGACCTAATGCCATATGTGCATTAAACCTTCCCTACATGGGGTTTTCCTTGACACTGCATGTCCACATGCAGAGTGTGCCGACGTCCAGCATAGTTTCGCAGAGTCAAAATCTGTGAAACTTCAGAAAGTGCCTCTAATGGTTGTCAGGCAATCTTATCACTGCAATTACATTGCAGAACAGAGACTGTGCACCCAGACCACATGGAATTTTGCGCTGCGAAGATTTGAGGCGGGTTGCAGAAATGTAAGCATTAAAAAAAAAAGAAAAAAAGAAAAAAAGAAAAAGAAATAAAGATCAGAGGTAAGAATAATAAACAAACCTAATACTAAACTGACCCTCTTCCTCCGCGACGCCCCCACCCAGTCATGAAAGTTTAAAATTAATCCTTTAAACAACGAGGTCCATCGGCGCTGGGTCAAGCTCCTTCTCCTCAGTCAACCGATGGAGGGAACCTAATGGGCATTAGGGGCAAGTGAGCATTAGGTCTTCCCATATAAAAGCATTGACTCAATGCCTTCCTATGGAGATTTAGAATATGTTTTTATGCAAAGTATGAGGATGACCAGCGTCGTTTTACCGAGTCAAACTCTGTGAAGCAGCAGGAAGCACCTTTAGAGGCTGTCTGCTAGACAGCCACTAAAGGCAGTTTTAACATTGGATGTTAGCATTGCAGTTTCTCAGTTTCAATGTTTTACATTGCAGGGCTAAGTTGACAAGGACAGTGCACCCATACTGCTTCAATAAGATAAAGTGGTCTGGGTGGCTATAGTGTCCCTTTAAAAAAATAAAAAAAAACACTTACAGAATAGAAAAATAGCCAAAGAGAAGAGGTTACATGACTTTACATGTATAAAGAGTTGTAAAATGGTAGTTTGTAAAGCATGTTTAGTTACTATAATCCAGAAGGCCACGGAAACATTAAAGGAACACTATAGTCACCTAAATTACTTTAGCTAAATAAAGCAGTTTTAGTGTATAGATCATTCCAGTGCTCAATTCACTGTCATTAAGGAGTTAAATCACTTTGTTTCTGTTGATGCAGCCCTAGCCACACCTCCCCTGGCTATGATTGACAGAGCCTGCATGAAAAAAAAACTGGTTTCACTTTCAAACAGATGTAATTTACCTTAAATAATTGAATCTCAATCTCTAAATTGAACTTTAATCACATACAGGAGGCTCTTGCAGGGTCTAGCAAGCTATTAACATAGCAGGGGATAAGAAAATCTTAATTAAACAGAACTTGCAATAAAGAAAGCCTAAATATGTCTCTTTACAGGAAGTGTTTATGGAAGGCTGTGCAAGTCACATGCAGGGAGGTGTGACTAGGGTTCATAAACAAAGGGATTTAACTCCTAAATGGCAGAGGATTGAGTAGTGAGGCTGCAGGGGCATGTTCTATACATCAAAACTGCTTCATTAAGCTAAAGTTGTTCAGGTGACTATAGTGTCCCTTTAAATACTATGCTCTATTTTCATCTTAGAAATGATCAGGTATAGGGAAGTTGTATAAAAAGGATGCTTGAGAATGCATAAACAATGTGAGCAAACCATACAATCTAAGTACAATATATACAAAAACTGTTTCAATAACTTCTGTACAAAGCTTAAGGAGGTAACCTAAAGCTTGCACTAATAATATACTATTAATACACTTTGTTGGTCCCACACCTATCACATACACGTCAAGGATGCAAAGAGACAGCAATGTTTTGCACTGGAGCAAGGCAGAGGGAACTCATGTTTGTCACGATAAAAAGTTTTCTGTAGCCCTTGGGATTACATGGCTGCAATCATTCAGGTTGGGTCTTCATGTTTAACACCACAATCCACTTAATTCTGGAACATCGTGGGTTTTGGCATGTTTCTGTTCTTACTTATTGGTCCAGGGTGATTTAAATCTCCAGGGAAATTGTAAAAAAAAAATAAAATAAAAAAAATCACAGGGAGCGGTAAAAACAAGCTATAATTACCAAACCGGTTCTGCTGGAATTCAGTTTACAAAGTTCAATAACAGCTTCAGTCACATTTAATTAAGATAAACCTATATCTCAGATAGTGGACATGGAAAAATACCACTAGTGTTTAGTTTAATTAATGGGATGCACATGGAAGGGAGAGTTACATTTTATTTACTCTCTGAGTACATTGCATTGGGGATGCCACTAGTACTCAATGGGTTACACTGTCCAGTCCATGCTTTATTCAGTGGATGCTACTTCCAGCCCTCCTTTGCACTCTCCATTAGATTATTTTCCTGGTTATTTTATTTAGGAAAATAAGTAGCTCAGGAGTGGCTGCTGGTTTCAGTAGGGAACGCATTGCATCATGATACAGATACACTGCATATACCCAATATGACATCAATTCATCCCAGCACTGCATCATGGGAAAAGATTATACAGCCTTCCATGAAAACAACGATCTCTTCACATAAAATAAAATATATAAAAAAGTTGGAACATTAAAAAGGTATTTGGCCAAATCCTTATTAGAATTAGTTAAATAAGGAAAAAAAAAAAAAAAAAAAAAAAGAGAGAGAGAGATACACAGCAGCATGTACTTACTAAAGGGTGAATCGCAAAATTTAGGCCAAAACAAGAAGATGAAACTATTTTAAAAGGTTCTCAAACACTTATAGTACCAGCGTTGCTATTTTAGCAAACGTTTTGGGTTTCAATTCACTAGTGTATAAGCCAAATGTATTTATAAAACTGACTATGGAAATAAATAAAATATGGTGAGAGCACACAATACAAAATAGTATTACCCACAGTAGAATTACTCTCTGAAAAAGAAACAGAAATTAACATAGGATTTACTTATTGACTATGGAAATGTTTAATCACGGTCAACAGTATCGCCCTATTAACATCCCTCCCAATTAAGTATGCGGTGAGAGGATAAATGGATATGGAGGAGCTACGTTGTTTAACATTTCATATTTACCGGTTACAGTATTTTATCTGTTATTCCTAATACAGCCATGACATAAAGAGATACTCTGATACCTGGAGAGAGCCTAACCCGTTATATATGCCAGTGTGGAGGGGCATCCATTCAACATAAAAGGGGGGTTTGTCACCTCCAGCCTGCCCTCACTGGAGATGTCAGTTATTTTTAGTGTGGAAAGGATACGCGCTTCTCAGGATCTGTACTGAAACTACAAAGTAAATTTAGAGCATTCAGATTTTCAGTTTGTACCGAGATGTCATGCAAAATGAAGGCATAACACAGGCTTAACAGTCACTTGTTATTTAGTGGGGGCAGAGACTTGCTTGAAGCAGAATGCTAAATAATTTGCAACAAAGACTGAAGTCCAAATGTTTTGCACATTTGGTGGGTGTGTGATTTAATTAAACCCTTATGGTTATTAGTTAGCTTAAATTACATACTAAACTCAATTTTTTTTTTTTTTTTGCTGCAACAAAGATTCTAATATCCAGAAACTGGAAATAAACTAACCCAATAAACTGGTCACACCTAAAAAATTAAGTCTTATATCAAGTCCGGATGGAGAAATCCTTCTGCCATCGTCAAAAGCAATGACGCCTAAAAGTGGTAGGAATATCTTCAAAAACTATAATATTCTCTTTATCTATTCACTTATTCTTTCTTTTTTTCAGGATATGTCCTCTCATGGTTCGTGATTGGTCTTGTCTTTTACAAGTGTAACAGTATGCTGGTAAACCTATGCTATATTGCGTATTTTCTTTGTACATGTACTTGTTATAATTATGTTTAACACCTCAATAAAGAGGATTAAAAATAAATTTAAAAAAGTCCAAATGTGCAGATTAACTAAAGTTGGTGAAGTTTGTGTTAGTTTAACCTTAGGTAAGTGCTCAGATGAGCAGATGTTTTTCTTTGTGCCTGCTACCACACATTGAATATGGAATGTGATAACTGCAGATCGGAGTGGCTTTGAGACTCTATAAGGTTCTGGTTAATCAATACCCTAGAGGACTGTGTTACTTTCTAAGGATCTGATGCCCTGTGGAGAAGCAGTATCACAATTATGTATATTTTACACACACATACACACAAAGGTGTGTAAAGGTTCCCCTTTACCGTAATCATGATTAGTCAGAACATGTATCCTGTTACCAATGTCAAGCTTTGTCTTCATGTGAACCCAAGAAAGTAAGAAGGAACGACGAGACACCATGAGGGTCAGGTTAATATCTGTACCTGTTCCACGTTCTGTCCTTGTTTCTGCATGGCTCTCATGACGTGCTGGTATGAGTATCCCATGCTGACTATGGTTTCCGCACACTGCCTCTCACTGCTTGACAGAGCCTGCAGAAGGTCCTCATAGCAAGGCACGCTGAGCTGCTTTACAAAGGTTACATTGTGGGGCACTTTGGACACTGCAACCTGCTGACCTGCTGTCTAGAAAAGAGAATTGGAATTTAGTAACATTAAAAGGTACTCCTGTAAAGAGTCACTCTAGGAAACCAACGCATCCTTTGTGTATTACACAATAATTACTACAGAGAGCTGCAGTGGCTAGGATGTATAAAGTGCTCCTTTAAAAATGAGTTCAAATATGGTTTACATAGTTACAAAGTAACCTAGCTTGAAAATAAATAAATGAGACTAAAGTCCATCACGTTCAACCTTTCAAACACATTCAAATAAGGTAACTCCCCCTAAATTGTTGCCATTTCCAATCATGCCACAAAAAGAAATAAAACACCCTTCTGGATTCCATAATTTTAATCAGATTTCTCCTTTGGTCCACAATTTTGCATTTTAAAAAATATCTATAGAATCTGATAAGACAACCTCCATAGATAGAGGTTTCCATATCTTTATTGTTCTTACTGTAAGGAACTCCTTCCTCTGCTGTAAGCGAAAACGTCTTTTGGTTTGCTCTGATTTGAAAAGGTACATATACTATGCATGTATTGTAAGAATAATCTCCATGATTTAGGACCATATTATCAGCCACCTCCATTAAACTCACGCTAGGACACAGCAGGAATATTTTGGAAGCGAAGAGACAGGATTGCGTCTTTCTATACCAGGTAAACGCCAAAGGAATACAATATGGCATTCTATGCAATGCCCGAAGCCTACCAGGTATAGGACAAATGTCGAAGTGATTATTTCCACTTTGCTTGTAATTCTAACCCTGTTAACATTTCACTAATGTAACAAAGGTGAAAATCTGAGAAAGCACATTTTCTGGTTGTCAATGATGTTGTGGTTTAACTTGTTGTGGTTAAAAACCTGTTCCTGTATTATATACAAATCTGAAGATCTTAAGACCTTTGCTCCAATAGGAAATATTAGAGAGGAATCAGCTTTCTGATACCTTATTGGGATTCACGGTCTCATTCATCTCAGTCAATTTTATCAGTTAAAGCAGGGACAGCAAGCCTTCCGGCTCCTTGGTGCAGGAGGTAAAAACAAGGAACAAGTTTTAACTTCTCTAAAGCGCCGCTGTCACCATCTGGGCCATCGTCTTCCGGCTGGAGCTCTCTAACTCTTGCTGCTTCAGCACCAGGAGCTGAAATCACTGTAGTAAACTCATGGATGCCAGAGAGTACAGCAGCGAGATCTTTGGAGGATCCCACGATATCGATGGATCCTACATAGACAGAGCCACTTCCCTGCGGCTGGGTGGATTTACATTTCTAGGCTGCGGTAGATGTGCCCAGTTTCTAGAAGTGCCAGGCATCGGAAAACACAGAGACAAAGTAGTCCCTCAACTTTGACTCAGTATACTTTTTGACTGGGTTGTAATTTCAGTGAAATTCAAGGACGATGACAGTGGCGCTTTAAAGGCTATGAGAAAATATTGGCACAATAAAATAAATAGTGAATTCCGTAAGAGGTAAAAAAAAAAGAAAAAGGTTTACGGAGCAAAATTTACAAAATGAATTTTTTTTCCTTAATCATTTATATTTCAAATACAATCACAACAGTGTGCCTGTTAAAAAAGAAAAACAAACCTAATGTTTGGCACAGAGCAACAGACCCAACTGGACCAATTCAAGGATCCAGAACACATGGTTCTAGTTGTTTTATTTTAGACTAATCTTCATTTATAACGTCTCGAGTGATAACCACAGATTAAACTTGGCATCAAACACATGCATTATCCAACCTTGCCCACCCACTTAATGAGTCCAGATTCAACTCAGGCGATTGAAACTGGCACCAAGCTCAGCTAAATATGGGGATGCAAACAGTGCCTGTGTTCCACTATGAAGAAAGTTATACACTGCATTTTGAGTCCCTCATTGGTGTTAGATTTGGGGATACTGACTGTGAACTAGTGAAATGCTAATCATGGATGTACTGGTAGCAACCCCATGTAGTGCTTATCATACGAGCACAAACTGATCCTAGCTATGAGGATTGATATAAGTTACTTTTGGGTTTTGCTATAGACTATTATCAAATAACAAGGTTAGGTGCATGACAAATAACAGCACTTACCTTGGTATCACTGTGCACGCAGGTTCTGGTTACTACTTCCATACCGCCTGCTTGGACAGCATTATGACCGGTGATGCTGTCTAAGGGAACGGACTGTCCCAGAACAAAGTGGCCATTGAGTTCACTGGAGGTGGGCTGAGAGCGGGAGAAAGTGCCATTGGATAGAGGTGAACTGTGAAAAGTGCCTGTAAATACTGTAATTTTCTGCTCTCCTTCATCAGAGTCCAGCTTGGGAAATGAGAGGGATTTGATATTGCTGACTGAGGTGATGGGGGCAAGGGACACTTTGGAAGACGGGGGCATTATTTCACAGTTTTGTAACTGTGACAAAGTGATAAATCCATTCGGCTTGCGCAGATGTTTGAAGTCAAAGGCATCTTGTTTTGTGGAAGTAGGGATATCCTCATTGTTAGTAGATGATCCAGAGTCCTGAATCATGCTAGAATTAGATTCTGGTTCTGTAGGCCGAACATGAATACCAAGGATGTTCTTTAATTCTTCTCTGTCATTAAGAGTCTTTAACTCTAAATTATCAAACGGGTCCTCTTCACACTCAAAGTCAGCAGGGTTGAAGTCTGCGTTGACCTGAGGTGGGCTCATGACTTTAAGGTTCATGGCATTGCTATTGGCAGGAGTGGGAGTTAAAATATTATTGTGCTGTAAGCTGGCAAGAACTGGGTTGAATCGTGGAGGAAAACTGGTGCCTTCGTTGCCGTTTCCCACCTGTGTGTTAGCATCTGCCTCAGAACATGCGGCCTCTGCTTCTAACTCTGCCTTATTCTGGGCAGCTTTTATTTGTTTAATTTCCTCGGCCCACTGGATGGTCTTTCTCTCCAATGAGAAATCATACTATAAAAGAAAATACAAAACGGATTAATGTGGTCCTTGAAATAATACTGTATTCATATGTGCACCCAAAGGCATCTCACAAAGTTGGAAAGAGTGCTCCAGAAATGTATGCCCTACATTGTATTACTGGTATACAAAGAAAACACTCCAGGACATGGACTCCAATTATCAAGAATGTGCAGACATATATATTTAATTTTGGATCCTTAAAAACACACAACTGATATATTCATTGTTCTGTCCTCTACTGAATAAACCTCAGGCTCACCTGACATGTTCCATTCTATTTGCTTACTTCTAGATAATGTGCCTTTAAAATAACTCCTTTAGACTGGAAAACATTTTCTTTCCACACATGGACAAGATTTGTGGTGTAGAATATGTATGAATTGTTATTTTCATAAAAACACTAAAGCATAATATATATATGATGGGGACAGTACCCAAAGACTCACGGTAACATGGGGAAATAATAAGCTACACTAATAAGGGTGTTTGCAGCCAGGAAGCACAAAACGCATATTTAAAAAACAGCTTTGAAATTATTTGTAATATTGGCCACTCACGTGAACATCTTGTACAATCTGTGAAATGTCTGGCACGCAGAATCCTACTGGCAAACCAACTTTATCTGGCACTCGGTACTTGTCTCCGATCTTGAAAGGGACGTCCTCTAGGTAACTGAAAGGTCCTTAGGAAACAAATTGCAAACCCATTAACATCACACCCTTTCACAAAATTCACGGAAAAAAAAAATTTGTGTAAGAAAAGTTAGCACCATGCTTATTTGAAACATGTGAGGCATAGTTATTACTCAACCATCGGATAAAACAGAAACTTTCTAGATAGATTGTTAGTCAAAGGCAAATGAATATGGTGAAACATATATAGAAGTGAATAACAATAGTAATACTCATTTAAGTACTTGGCACACAATTATTACAGTAGTATAATAAAGTAGAGTTTAAAAATGTACACCCTAATTTTTTTTCATAAGGGATCACTTCAGTTTAAAAGGAATTAAATGCATTTAGAAATATTGGGACATAATGTCATGGCTTGGTAAGTGTCTGCCCTTCCCTTCCGGATCACACGTTCCACGGCAGTGTATAGACTGCACACTGTGTTATGCAATATAAAGTGACCTCATTATTGCATACCACAGGAGTGCATTGATATGCTATAAATGAAAACTAGCTCCGTGTACACATTATTACTAGTGACTCAGCTAAAGTAAATAAAACTGATTTCTTTACCATTAAAAGGTGAAACAACCTCGACAGCCATTAATATCTGGTTTATTTACGTACACAAACGCATATTAGACAAACATGTATTCTTAACACTATAGTGTCTCCTCACTTATTAGATAAGAGGGCCTTCTAAATAAAAATAAACAAAATAAGGTTTTTATTTATCTTTCCACCCCCCTCCCCCCCAGAACAGAAACTCACTCTGTGCTAGTACTCACTCCACCTCTCCCCGTGTCGTCACCCAGCAGACTTTGTTACACTGTCTTTCTCTTTCATTCCAATTCTTCTCATAGGGTACTCAAACCATTCAGTAATAAACAATGTGTTTGTAACTTAGAAGTGAAAGGGTTAAATTAGTGCTGTCCCCATTACTTTGCACTATAATGCTCGGTAGTCCTGTAGTGCAATGCCTATTCAATAAGTCTAAAGGTTCCATGTTTTTCCAGTTTTTATGGATCATCTGATCCACTGAACCTGAGGAGTACACATAGCTACATAGATATTTCAGGGTTTTTCAAAACTCATAGCCCATAATACTGCAGAGACAAATTCATATTTTAATCTACAGATGTACTTTTCTGGCTTTAATCAAAGAGACACTATAGTCACCAAAACATTAGCTTAATGAAGCAGTTTGGGTGTATAGATCTTGACCCTGTAGTCTCACTGCTCAATTCTCTGCCATTTAGTAGTTTAATCACTTTATTTAGGCAGCCCTAGTCACACCTTCCTACATGTGCCTTACACAGCCTTCCTAAACACTTTTTGTAGAGTCATCTAATGTTTATATGTTCCTTTATTGCAAATTATCTTTAATTTACAATTTATCATCTCCTGCTCTGTTAATAGCTCGTCCCTGCTCCTGTAGCCTTCTGTCTGTAATTAAAGTTCCATTTAGACAGCAGACGACAAAAACCTGTAAAGTAAGTTAACAGCGGATTGATAACGAAATAATTTTGTTTTAATGCAGGATGGGTCAGTCACAGTCAGGGGAGGTGTTGCCAGGGCTGTATAAACAGAAACAACTGTGATTTAACTCCTAAATGGTAGAGAATAAAGCAATGGAACTGCAGGGGAATCAGTTGTACACCAAAACGGCTTCATTGAGCTAAAGTTGTTTTGGTGACTCTAGTGCCCCTTTAAAGGAATGTGTGCTCTGAGCACAGGAACATGTTCCAACTGAAAAGTGATAAGCAAGTTCCAACCCCTTGCTTCCTTTCTTAGTTACCACCAGAGCAATTAAATCTAAAACTGCCACTTACACTGAAATCTGCAAATTGCCCTGAGTGTTTGGAATATAGTTCATGTGGCATTCCCTTTTATCCAGAAGAGATATAGAATAAACTTTTATGGAATTCAGAATGGAAAATGTAGCTTACACTGAACACAACAGGTAAGTAAACATTACTGGGAAAACAATAGTAAAATACAAATAACAATGAGAATACTCACCATGTATATCTGATGTAGACTTCTTAGAAGCCATTTAGAGTCTGAAATAAAAAAAAAAAAAAAAATATATATATATAAAAATAGAAAACTACGGTTTTAGGTTTAGCTCACACTGCATGTGAATTGTCAGGGTATTTATATCGGCAGACATCTTGTGCTATGATAGAAATTAAAAGTGTATATTCTGAGTCACTCTGAACAGACCAGACTCCATTTTGTTATTTCCAAGTTAACAAAAGACAAGATTTCTATCTGTAAAACTAACCACGTTCCCAGAGCTAAAGGAATGCATAGTATATACAAACCAAGTGATAAGGAGAACGGGGGTTGGATAGACTGTCTAAAATGCTAATGGAATAGATGCATTCTAAACCCAGACATTTGTGACAGAGGAGATTAAATAATAAAATTTTACTTTCTATATGTACAATATCCCATTGTAAGTTTAAGGTGGAACTTAGTTCACGAGCTGCCATATCAGAAATTATAGCAGGAATTGCGGACACTAAGTCTGGACAAAACTTAAAGAAACTGTTTGAACTGACAGCAAATCTAAGTTATGGTGGTCATTTGAGATAAGTAAAATGACGTCAAAATAGCCACCAGGAAAAGTTAACTCTTCCCTGGATAGGTATGTTTAGTGGGACAAGACTGCCCTCTATAGACCAAATACCTAAATTGCGATCCCTAGGTAAGCACACCTCTAGTGCTTCTATTGTGTTATCAACTGATGACGTACAGAGAGTCTGGCCCTTTAAAAGTTAGGACAAAGGGAAGATAGGAGGGTTGAAAGGAGGAAAAAGGAGAGAGGAATTGGAAGTTTGGGGACTCCAACTCGGACATGCAGAGAAACCCAGGACAACATCTGAGACTAACACTCTACTCTTAAAACTCTAACACTTAGAATTTTACTGACTTTCTAACCAACACCACCTTTCACCATAACTCATGCACCTACAGACATCCAAATAAGTTCCTGAGACTATCTACCAATCGGATGAAATATCTACTCAACTGGTAATTATACTGGTTTCATTTAATTAATTAAAATTTACTAATAGCATGATATATAACTGGATAAAGCACAGTCAGATTTCCATATTAAGAAATCTTAGTTAACTAAAGAATATATAGTTATAAACATTCCATTCTGCAGGTGGAATTAAGAATAATTATATATTGATGTGATATTATCACATGTTAGCATACCGCTGTTTTTATCCAGGTGTATTGATTTGTTCTAAAATAAGATAAGATATCTTTTTAGACAAATTAAATTCTGCTTTTGTAAAAATCATGGTAGATTCTCTTATTGGATGGTTCCAGGAAATGACTAATGAACTGGTTTAAATGTTATTTTATTTAAAATTACATAAAAATAGATCTTAATTACCTAGATCTAGCCAGCATTGAAAGGGTTATTCTAACTGTTAGCCAGGGTTTTATGGCCTTTCGCTGTGAAAAGCTTCGCTTTCTCTCTGTGAAAGATACCTCATAAATCGTGTAAGACTTGACAGAAAATGCTGTTTAGCCATTGAAACGTGTATAGCCATTCCTTTGTATTGCATACCATTTTAAACTGGATATTCATTGATTATGGTCACGCATGTTACATATTATTATTAATTAATTTGTTATTATAAAGTAAAATCTATTTTTATAACATTGTGATATTTATATGAAATACATTCAACTTAACACGATAACGATATTTGGGATCTGAGAATTGAATTAGTGGGCAATTCTCACTGTTTACTATTATTATCCCATAAATATCCCCACAGAATGTGTGAATATGCTGTATAAAATAAATAAGGAACTATGTGCGAGGTACATCTGTTTTAGCATGTAATGTTACCATATAGGAAAAAAGGATCATCGTTTGACCATGGGGACACGATATGACTTCACCCAGTGTAACGTTAATAGAACATTAAGGATCAGAAGAACAAAGGACTAGTCAAAACACAAAGTGCTGCATTCAGATCAAAATAACTACCTGGGGAAGTGGATTTACTAAATATATATATATATATATATACATATATACATATATACACACACACAGCAGTTTTAAATGTAAACCTTTAACACATTCATTCACTGGTTGAGAAATTAATAGGCAGATTAAACTGGTGATGGCTAGCTTTGACACTCCTGATGTTTGTGAACCGAGATATACGCAGAACCAATAGGGATGACAGTAGCAGTAAGTGTGCACATATATGGATGTCCACAGTGACTAGATAGCATTGCTGTCTGACATGGATTATAAAGGGGAACAGAAGCAAATTCCTGTAAAAGCAAAGATATAACAATTAGTCTGTATATCTGCAGTCAAAACTGCCGACAATACATGAATTCAATAAAGTAGACAACCGTATCTCTGGTATTACACATCAGAAACCACCTAAAAGCTGTGTAAAACTTTGCTTCAAGTGAGGTTCCATTTACTTTTAAATATATATGAAAGCTTTAGTAATGGACTGTAGAATCGGGTTCAGTCCACGCACAGCCAGGGTACACATTGCATAGGAGGAAGAGAAAGAGAGCCAAGATGGAGGCACCCCGTTTTAGGATAGACAAAATTTCTATTTAACAAAGTTACTTTTACTTAAAATTTGAGGAAGTGCAACAATAGGGATATCCCCTTTTCTTACATCAGAAAAGGCTGGCAGAACTGTAAAAAGTCCCTCCTCATCATTCTCCTTCAATACTATAAAAGCCACCAAACACACCAATGCCCCAGAAAGTACACAAGCCAAACTCATGCAAATTTATTAAATAGGGAGGGAATTGGAAGTGCACTGCCTATAATCTTGGAAAAAGACATTTACAGTAAGTAAAAAATGTTGTCTTTTCCACCAAAATTAGAGCACGTTTGCAAATCCCAGTTGCTAAAACTTTAGGATGCAGGAGATAGGAGCTGTAACTGGATTCACTAACAGCCGAACACCTAGAAGAATTATTTTTTTTCTAAATTCTAGAATACGCTTTGATTCTTTCTTGGCATAAACCAGAATATCCATTACCTCAGGACTTTAGAACTCAGAATCTCTCGGTCAGACACCGTGCTATGAGCTTGAACATTTTCAGTGTCTGTAGATCCACTACGCTGCATTCCAAGGAGTTTTTTGACAAGGGAAGGTGCCAGAATGTTCCTTTTGATAGATTTCTGAGGAGAGAGAATAAACGTCTTGTTGAGTCTTGAGGCCATAAGGTCCATTTCTGGTTCTCCAAAAAGATTTACTACTTCCAGAAAGGCCTGAGGTGTGAGCGACCAATCTCCCAGTTTTAGAGAATTCCTACTTAAAGTATCTGCCAATATGTTGAAGTTCCTTTTGATATGGACTGCTCACAGGATTATTTTTGAGAAAATGTTCTCCAGAGAAGAGGAACGTGTTCCCAGTTTCTTGTTGATGTAGGCCACTGTAGTGGCATTGTCTGAGTGCATCTGAACATGAATATGTAGAAGGTGTTTAATGCTTAAGAGGGCCATCTATATCGCTTTTAGTTCTTTTAAGTTTGAAGAATCTTGACCAGTCCATTGGCCTGTTGCAGAAAGTTTTCCTATGTGGGCTCCCTAACAGAAAGCTGAACTCTCGGTAGCAACAAGGAACTTTTTTTTTCTTCTTTTTTTTCTTTTTTTTTATAATTCTTTATTTTTCGTGCTCGAATTGTAAACAACATTTAGATCATGAGATAACAGTGTTGACACATTGCTTGGTTACATTACTTTGCAGTTTTTTACAGGATAGACTTATACATGAGGATAGTGAGCACTTTTTCGTATGAGAGACATGTTCGATATCAGACCCAGGGTGTTGTTTAGACAGTAAGCTTCTGAATAGTAGTGCTTGTTGTACCCCTTGGATACTCCAAGTGTGAGAGGTGAACTAGGCTCGCGTGGGTGATGCAAGGTGGCAGTGATGTGTGTGGATGCAAACATGTGAGTAAGGGTAGGCTGGAACAGGTGTGAAAGTTAGAGGCCTATATATGAGGGTTGGTCAGGTGTTGAACATGCTGTGTCGGTGCAGGCTGGAGTGTTGCGTGTGTCCGACCCTAGGGATCACAGAACTAGTAATCAGGCTTCTTAACTTAAACCCCTAACCAAGGGGTGTTCTTTTAACCAAAAAAAGAGAGACCTTCTGAAATTAACTTTAAATGTTCCCAACAACTGAAACTCCTTATCTTAGATGGTCTCATTAGGTGATCAAGTGGCGAATGATCTCTGCTCCATGTTTCCAGGATGTTTTTCTGTAGTGGTCTAATTCTTGCTCTTGCCCAGTTGACCGTTGGAATGGCTGATGTGAAAAGATCCATAACACTCATTGCCTTCCTCATAATACAGATCAATTATAAGGCCTAGGAACTGAACTCCTTTGTGGGAAACTAATTATGACTTTTGAAGATTTAGAATCAAGCCATTTTACTGGAAGCATGCAGTAGCTTTTGAATATTTTGAAGGAGTTTTGTGTGTGAGTTTGCCTTCAACAGGTAGTCATCCAGGTAAAGAATAATGCAAAGCACTTCTTTCCTTAGGGCGGCAGCTCTGACCACCAGAACCTTTGTGAAAACCTGATTATTAATATATTTATATAGCTGATTATATATTATATAATTATTTTTTGAAGGAGTGGAGACTGGGTGAGCATCTAACGGAGGAGGGAAGCGAGTTCCACAGGAACGGTGCACCTCTCGAGAAGTCTTAAAGATAAGCATCAGAGGTGGGAGTACGAACAGAAGATAGACGTCTTCAGCAAAGTACGAACAGAAGATAGAAGTCTTCAGCAAAGTGTAAGGGCCTAGATGGGACATACTTGTGTATTAGGGAGGATAGATAGGTGGGAGCAGCATTATTTAGAGATTTGAAAGCAAGAACCAGAATTTTAAATTGAGTCCTATATCTTACATGAAGCCAATGTAGGGACTGACAGAAGGGTGAGGCGTGAGAGGTGCGGGCAGACAGGAAGATGAACCTCGCCGCTGCATTCATTATGGACTGTAACGGCACAAGTTGGGAGCATGTAAGAC